CCAAAACCACCTGTTTTAGGAAAGTTTTTTGACTTTTTGAGGGAAAACCCACCTCGTCGTTGCCGCTTTGTGCGTTTTCTGGTTTGTCCCCCTCACGCACGCATCCGCTCAGCTCAACCATGGTGATGTTCAAGAAGGTGAAGACCTTCGTGGTGGCTTTCAGCGAGCCCGAGAAGGTTTATTGCAGCGGGGAGAAAGTGGCCGGGCGAGTGTTGGTGGAAGTGGCCGAAGTGACCCGAGTCAACGCCGTCAAGGTGTTGGCATGCGGGGTGGCCAAAGTCAACTGGGTGAAGGGACCTCAGCAGTGCAAGCAGGAGATGGAGTATCTGCGCTTCGAGGATGTCCTCAGCCTGGAGGAGCAGCCCACGGGTGAGTATCTGGGGAGGGGAGGAGGGGGGTCGGGAGTTGACCCCCTGGTTGGTCTCACGGGGGATTGGAGTTGAGTCTTGGTTGCACCCAGTGGGGTTGGGAGTTGACCCCCTGGTTGGTCTCCTGTGGGGCTGGGGTGAGTCTTTTGGTGGGGTGGGGAGTTGGACCACCCTTGTTCTGTGGTGTGGGGGCTTAACCATTGAAAGGCATCAAAATTCGGGGAGAAACGGGCTAAGGAATCGAAAGCAATCAGGGCTTGACGAAAGTTGGAAGTTGGGAGGGAGAGAGGTGAAACAACAGCCTGGAGGAGCAGGCGGCGGGTCGGGTGTTGCCGTGGCACACCAAACAGGCGGTGAGGAGACCTTGGCCAGGGCGGGGTGTCACCTACAGGTGGTGCCCAGGGAGTGGCCAGCACAGGAGACAAGGGCACAGAGAAGTCCCTGCAGCAGCCCCTGTGTTGCGCTGGCTCCGGGGGGTGGCGAGAGATGGGAGCTGGTGGCGTGTCCCGGGGAGTAAAGGGCTGACCCAGCACCGTGGGGATGAGATAAGCAGGCAGATGAGATAACCAGGGGGGAGAAGTGGGTGCTGGGTGCTGCCACGGGGTGGAAGTGGGTGTGGTGAGGGCACGGGAGCCGAAGCGCGTCGGGACACGGCGTCCCGGCTGCGGATGGGGATGTGGTAAGAACAGAGCGAGGTGAAAGGAGCTTCGGGGAGACACAAAGTTCTCAAGGTGTTCCCGGGGACGGGCGTGGGTGGGGCCCCCGGGGACGGGCGTGGGGGGGGCCCCGGGGGAGCAGGACGGGAGGGGGTGTTTGGGGCTGAACCCGTGGAGCTTTGAGTGATGTTTCCTTTCTTTTCTTCCCCAGATGGGGATGGCTCCGTGATCCTGAGACCCGGCAACAAGTACGAGTACAAATTCGGATTCGAGCTTCCCCAGGGGTGAGTATGAAGGGAGAGAATTCCAGCTGGATTTCGACTGAAAAATCCTCCTCGTTGCCTCAGGTGTGCTCTAACCAAGCGTCTCTTCCCACAGGCCTCTGGGCACCACCTTCAAGGGGAAGTATGGCTGCGTGGATTACTGGGTGAAAGCCTTCCTGGAGCGCCCATCCTTCCCCACCCAGGAGATCAAGAAACGCTTCGAGGTGATGGACC